CCATAATCAACATCTCAGGTTGTTTTGTTTGTAAAATTGTGAAGATTGGTGATGCTGCTGGACAAAGGCTGTGCCGTTCATAGGGGTTGCTTGACCATACTTCACCACATTGGTCAGTGCAGGGTGGTAAAGGAAGGGGCAGGGCTGGTTCAGATATCAATCATGTTAGCAGTGGTTGGGAATCGAACTCGGTTATCCTGGTATATAGTGAAACACATTTGTTTAAGCATGCAAAGCCAGAACCGCGTAAGTTTTCCTTAAAATAGCTTTGTACCCAAACTAGCATAATCCAAACGGTTTTACATTGTATAATCACTCGTACAGTACAAATAAATCACAAATTATATTCAAGTATGCGTATACAGAGTGTACACAGTTTATTTTAATGCACGCTTGAGTTAATATATAAATTGTAACAACATCGTTTCTTCTGCAGTGAACCTACATAATATTAAGTTGATTACAAATAATACCGTATTCTTTACATTGTAAGACGCACTGACTCCCCGCCCCTCCATATTGTAACGCAAACGTTAGGGATGAGGCTTATATGTATGTATGTCGAACTTTTGTATCACTTTATTGACACCGAGAATAAGTTTGGGGCGCGTCTGACTTTCCGGAGCATCTTATAATCCGGATAATAAAGAATAACAATGTTATACCATAGCATGCATTTCCTAAAACATCGATTTTTTTTTCTTCTCAGCGGCAGCAAAAAAAAATCCTGTTATATTTTTAACCCGTCATTTGTAAATAGTATACAAAGTAATAATATACAAGCATAGTGTCAATACACCGCTGAATCAAGGGCCTCCGCACGATGCGTCGGTCATGAGGCTTGTGTTTGACCATACTGTACTTGATCACCCTGCTCATGACAAGTTGGTAAAGGGGGACTCAACAATGGTTCTGATATCACTTGCCAACTTTGCAAGGCATGGCCGGGAATTGAACTCGGGTCGATTAATGCTGGCAATACTGAACATTGATTTGTCCCAAGGATTTATGACCATAGAGCAGCGACAGGCACATCGATTCAATCTTGATTTGAAGCTTTCGTGACTGCAGGAATCCATACTCTTTGGTTCCTTCGGTAAAGTCACGTAGGTAGAAAAATAAAATAAAACAAAAAATAATAATATAATATTTTTAATACTAATTATATCTTATTTTTTGTTTTATTTAACTTTTTCTACCTACGTGACTATAACCGAAAGAACCATCGATTCGTCGAACATGAAAACTCATGCGAGAAAGGTTGGCTGGGCCCTGTCTCTTCCGTCCTGGCAGTTCTGGCGCGATGGAAGCCTTGCCGTCTTGGTAATGCCCTCGTACAGCCGAGAGCGCATTGGCCACTTCTGAAAAATGCAAACGACAGAATTAAAAAACAAAACGAGCACAGAGGTGACAGTTGATCCAGGCGTGGTGGTAATATGCATCCATAATCTAGCACTTTGGAAGCAAGCGTTGATGGATGATGTACTTTGGTGACAATCCCCAATACACTTTCGTCGTTTGTTTTCTCCAGAAACTCCAATTTCCTCCCTCAACAACAAAAGACTCCTTAAAACGCTTCAAAAGCAATTGGCAAAATAGTCCAATGCAGGACTCCCCCTGAATAAATAAACCATGTTAATAAAACTAAGTAAATCTAAAAGTAAATATAATTAACAAAATCACATGCAATATTAAACAGTTCGTATTTCAGTTAAAGCAGATGCATGTGTACAATAAGTATAGAAATCTTAGACATTAGGTAGACACAGAACAAGTAGAGAGACCTCTCATTGTAGAATGTAAAAATAACAATCCAGTGGCCGCTGATTCGATCTCCCAGCGAGGCAGATTAAATCCTCCTGCTTCTGCCCAACCAGCAGTATAAATTAGTGCATCACAGTCAATTGGCAGGTCACATGAGGTAAGGTAAAGTGTGAGTAAGCCCACCTCCAGTAATAGGTGACCAAATACATTCCGTGTGCCCTGAAAGCCAATGCAGTCCTCACCTTCATTGGGTGTAAAAATCCTGGAAAGTTCCCCGTGGCGCGTGCCGCCGCTTGCTCTTTATCCTGATGAAGGGACGGGGACCCCTTGGTGGCTCCATGCGCCCTCCTTGTCAAGAACTCCCTGGCCACGGGTTCTGGCCCGGCGACAGCAGGTGGAACTCCATCAACGTATGGGCGACCCGTTTCCACGCCAAGAGTCCTGCTCAGGTGCGCGATGTACGCACTGGCCAGGAGCAACACGTCCAGCTTGGAAAGTTTGGTGTCTGGCGGCACAGCGGGCAAGCTCTTCTGCAGCGCTAGGAAGGCGGCACGCATGGCTCTTACGCGGGACCGCTCCCTGTTAGCACCCGACGACTCCTTATCGACGTTGGAGTCTCGTGTCCCCCTCGAGATGGGGGTCTCCGCACGCTGGGAAGACCCCTGTTGCTGTTGTTGTTGTTGTTGCTGCTGCTGCTGCTGCGGCGCGGGTCCGGTGCTCTGGCATGGCCCACGCGTGGTTTGCTTGCGCTGTGTGGCCCACGCTCCGATGCAGGGTCGGCGTGTTGGGCCGGCCGTACAGACGGGATGGATGGGATCCATGGAGCTAAAAGTTGGATATTGCAGTCTAAATTAAAAAAAGCGTGCATACATATGGATTTTGTAACGCGCTTCTGGACACATTTGTCCTCGGAAGGATTTAATTTGCTACCTCATTGTTCAGGTGACCTCCCCAAACGCAAATCTCGATCAAATGTGACTACAGGCACAGTCATGCATTGGTGCTCAAAATCCGTGGGTACAAAATGCTCAAAGGGAGCCTTTACATATTCACTCGTGTATGTCAGTGTGTTATAATACGGCACGTAATGAGACCAACAGGAGCTTTCATTCACGAGTGGACAGAACAAGGATAAAAACCAAAACAACACGGTGCGTCTGCACAGCTTCATGTATACAGTACATATGGATGATTCCAAAGTAACATAATTAAAAGAGCAATGCAATCATCAGACGTGGCGTTTATGCAATGCACAAAACCTGCTATCTCAGAAGAGTTAGATACTTTCTATTTCCAAATGAAGATCCTATGCTGTCATTCCGTTACCGTGGAATTATAGTAAAAAATGAACACGCTACGTTTGGTATTTGCGCTATTCTTATTGTGCAAGGCGATTACAAAGGTGTTGATCTTCACAGATATATAGGGGCAAGAATACTATGTAGTTTAACTAAATATAGCAATTTGCCGTTATTTTTTTCTGCACTTGTGGCCTCTTTCGTATAACATCACGGGAAATTATCGACCGTGAAACAAACGTCAGGTATTTTTTGGTAACACCGGCGGTATTTACCAAGGCGGCTTAGGTTCTTGAAACTGCGACCCTCTGCAACAAGCAATGAACGCGCTGCAACTCACAACATACACCATATAAATGCAAATTCGTTGAGTTGCGTGCGTGCGTAGAACACTTACGTGCGGTTTAAAGTTCTTGTGCTGCCTGCCCTGTGTGCTATTCGAATCGTAATGACCACAAATAGCGGGGACCTGCACGCACTCGTTTTTCCTTGGGTCCGTCCTCTACAGGCAGCCCTGTGCCATACCCCACAGATTGTTTGGCGCCGCACATCCAGCTATATTGGACGAGCCTTATCCACTCGGCCTGATAAAACGCTCCGTATTTCATCTTGCGGGCCAATGCTTCCCACGTATGGCTGCATTTTTAATAGCTCAGCGAAGGACATTTTAGAAGCGGGACTGCAAAAATGCCCACACTTAAAAGATAGTGGGGACATTTGGCAGATGCAAGCTGCTATGGGGTTTCAGAAATGATAATTTGTTGGAAAAAATAGGATGCTGTATTTTTTTTCGTTTGCATCAAACCCACAATTTTACTGCATTCTCATATTTTCTCACGTGACATTGGTATACCAAAAAAAATTGCAACATGTTTCTCAGACGCATTCATCCAGCTGATGGTGCTGCCCCGTCGAGGGCCCTAAGAATGTATTTTTGGAGGGGACCCCCTTTTTGACCTATATACCAACAACATATCTCCAATTTTCGGTCGAATACCCTCTTGTACAATGTTTTATCCATTGGCCATTGTCAACTTTATTCCTCATGAGGACATATTTCTTGAATAATACCCTGGATTAATTGAAAGGAACATAACATTTATTAAAATATTCATAATAAAGGGTTTTTTGGTTAGATCCCATCAGTATGTTGTGGATTTACTCTCCAACACACCAGTAGTACAGTAACTAATTAGCACGTTTTGATTAAGTGACAAACCTTACTAAATTTGGTTGTGTCGGGTAGTCGCGGCTTAACGACATATTTATACTTCAGAATCAGATATGTATTTATATTGGAGGAATCCGATTAGCTATAAATCAATTTTTCACATATGTCTAACCCAAAAAATCTTTATTATGAATAATATTGGTCGCGAAAGCCTTTGTGTCAAACTTTATGAAAATAGATAGATGCCCATGTGTAAATATGATTAATCTAACAAATTTGGCCATGTCCAGATAACGCTGTGCTCAGCCAAAACCTAGCATAATCACGGGTGGCTGAAACTTGGATTTAAACCCAGGATATCAGTGGCAATGGCTCTGGCATGTTATTACAAAACACCCAATTCAACCATACCACCACCATACCCGCCCATACTGGACATCTGTGAAAAGGAGCTTCATCGCTCATAGGATTCCTCCAGTCTAAATAAAAGATTCTGATTATATCTAACGTCGTGACCGAACAAATGAATTGGTGCAATACATTATTGTGACTAGAAAAATATATATTTTCTAATTTGGGCCCTCCGAAGTCCAAATGTGTTATGGCACGCGCTCGATTTTGTATAGCGATAGCCACATATCGCGATAACCACATACAGCGATAACCACATACCGCGATAACCACACACAGCGATAACCACATATCGCGATAACCACATATCGCGATAACAACATATCGTGATAACTAAGAATATGAACTACGAGCCGCTTGGCAGTTGTCCGGTGACGTCACTGCGTCCATCACGACCGTGTCGATCTCACGCCTCACACATCACCCCTCCCCACACTCTGTTTTTTAACCATTGTAACAACGGGAGGGGGGTTGCGCGAACAGCATCATTCTCTGTAATTTGTCCACGTTTACCCGACCGGTAAGGTGCGCCGCGGTTTAAGTTGAATGTTGTATTTTTTTTACGTGGTCTGGCGGTATCCCTTCACCGGCCTGCCCGCGCACTTCCTTGGGGAGAGGCGGCCCCCTATTCCGGCTGGCCGACGAGGAAAAGCGTAAGGCTTCACCGAGGCCTCCTCGGAGTCGGGGGGGGTCCCCCAACCCGCAAACTCTACGAACGCGCACTGGGAATGCGTTTGGTTTTAAAGTGATTTAATTAAGATTGTGTTATGTAACAACTTCATGTAAGACTCGTGATTTTCCCCGTTGTCTTTGTTGTATGTGTTTTGGAAATTCCTGACGTAGACTATACCTGTGTTTGTGAGCGGTTGTCATCGTGCCAAGAGTTGCACAGTTGTAATAGTTTTTTTTATTTATACTGTACTTGTATATCGACTGCATACCTGCTAATTTGTTTATTGCATTGTCTGATTTTAAGCCAGTTGACCTCCCAACTAAACGGCATGCATCAATACTGAATCGTCAGATCGTACAGTTTTGTTAACTATATTTAATTGTCTCCGTGATGTGCACGTGAAGTGCGCACATAGTATTCATTTCAACCTTGCAAGAAACGCATTGCAGAAGAGGGTTGACAGCTGCTTTGAGGTGGCCTTGACTGTTTGAGTGGTTATTGGAGAAGGCATTGCTGCTCCAGGCACAGCCAATTGAGACCTGTTGATTGCGTGAGTGTCTTGGGTCGTGCCAGTGTCTCCTTGTCACGTTACAGCGCCTGCGTCGCTTGACAACGTTTTTTTAATGAATGCCCTGCGTAATGCCGAAAGGGAATTATTTGTTTCGCGCGCTTACGTTTGTAAAGAAAATGCATGTTTTCTTACTCTCTACATTGAAACTAAACGCTGCTCGTCATACCTGTCAACCCCCTGATCAGTGCTGCCTACCTTTTTGCAAACAAATTAAGACCTTATTGATCACCCCGTGCACTTATAAATCTCAACGTCCTTCATCCTACGAAGTCCCATCGCAAGGGAGAAACACAAACAAATAGACACAAATGTTTTTTGCCCGTATTGAAACGACTGTACGCCGTATAGACCTCAATATTCAGTTCCCCTGTACAAGAATACGGGTTGACAGGTATTGATAATTGACGTTGAGCGTAATTAGGATGATGAATGCGAGTTATATTAATCGCATGCTTGGTGTCTGCGTTTGGAATAAACAGTCTGCTGACGTTATTGGACACGGGAGACGCTAAATGGTTGCCAGGGCACTCGAGTCAGGCGTGGCCCATCAATGTGCCATAAAGCACTTCTAAAACTGTCACTCATTCAGACTGCTATGGCATCAGTGCACTATGCGTGTCATGGTTCACCGTCCAATCGTTTTAAGTCACAATTTAGGTTCTCTTATTTGATTCGAGAAAATTGTGTTTATTCTCCTTGTTTACATTTTCCTTACATTGTTTATAATGTTTGTGCCTGTCCAATTTTGGCCCCTCCAAAGACTTATACAGTATATGTATGTTCATTATTATGCAGCCTTTTGCCGAGAAGAAGTTCAACTTAAATAAAATCCGTTGCTGGATGTCAGTGATGGGTGCTACTTAACCATGCTGAACAATGTGAAATTTTGAAGGTGGTGGGAACTCCGGTCTGGTTCAGATATAATTTTACCTTAGCAGGCATCCAAACTCAGATAATTGGGTTCATGGTGCAATGGCTGGGTTGAGGCCAAGTAGCACACAATTCGCATATTATTTAGCGAAAATAATGAATAACATATTCTCAATATGCAATGCTACGAATGTAATGTGAGTGAGAGTTCATTTTAATTGATTAATTGATCCATCATTACGCACGTATAGTACTTGACCCTGGAAAACCTGGGCTGCTTCGTTTTTTAACATGTTGGGTTTTATGTAGCAAAATTGATGTTTTCATTATTTTTATGTTCATAATAATGCTTCTGTAGTATTTTATTTACCACATTGTGTATTTATGTATTCTTGATTCAGTTCATCCTGACATATCTTCATTGTTGTTGTTTGCCCATCGTGTCATTGGTTGTACCATAATATACACTTTTTACCTTGCATTTTAAAGGAAACTTCGGGGTAAATCTTATAACCTGGAAAATACATTCTTCCAGAAAACATGTTTTAATCAAGTTGTTCAGAATAATATTTTATTAGACATCTCTCTCCATTTAAAAATAGCACATTCATAATCATCTTCCGGACGACAGCTCTCCATAGTACCGTATTCTCCCAATTATAAAACGCTCAATTTCAAAATTAAACCAAAGTCAGCGATGTGTCTTCCTTTCTGGAGCATCTCATGATCATGATCTGACAAGTGTTGCATGCCAGTTGTGAAAAATGTATGAACTTTGCAATGGAAAAAAACATTGTGGCTGTGGTGGCCAAGTGGTGGTCACTTATGTTCTCACCCAGTGTCCAGGGAATTTCCAATTTCAGTCCAAATTCATACCCCACTGGTCCGTGAGAGTGACGTTAAAAAGCATCAACACTCTCTACTAATGTGTGTGGCCCTAAAAGGTCTCGCAGCAAAGTTTGCAGAATCAAGTCATTGTATCGGTTGAGCCCAGAGTACCTAATCATTGCACTTGCATTTTTATCAACAATTGATAACATTTCACATGAAAACCACCATTTTTATAATTTCCACTCAGTTGTACTTGGCCATCAACCAGCAACGGATTAGCAAAGGGCTGTAAATTATTCTTATTAAGGAGATGGAACATTGAAATTAGTTCATATGCAGGTGCTAGGTGGATTATTACATCCCAGGATTGTGAGATGTGATAGCTTGAGCAGGTCTTCATCCAGCAGTGGAATGAACATTGCTGATGATTATTATACCTTAAAAATATATCGAGCTAATGATTTTCGTTATGGCCCTTTAGAACAGATTGAGCATAGATATATTTACAGAATATCACACGTTACACTCTCGTGGCGAAAACATTGACATATATTTTCATATATCAGTTTACAGATGTTCAATTCCACTTTCTTCAAACTGTCGATTGGTGAGAATCTTTTTTGGTGTTAAACACTTTGCCTAAGGCTTTGTGGTGGTGAATGATGATGGCATTATAAAATAGCCAAATAAAATGTGCAGTTGTGTTTTTTTCCTCCCTGCTGACTCTAGCGACATGTCCTTCTGGTGCAGTAAGAATGGACGACGATGAGCTGGAGCGGTTTCTTCGTGAGCAGAAAGCCAAGATTGCACGCGACCAGGCCCAGCTGGAAAGGGACCTGCCCTACATGGAGATGCAGGTGCATTGCCCAAGTGAAATTACGTATTCTGTTTGTTTTACTGCCATTTGTCACAGCCGGAAACAACAGAACAGAATGTGCAGATATGCCTCTTAGCTTCGATAAAAAGCTTACTTTTTTAATTGCTTGATTTTAAAGTCTGCAATACAATGGAAATCCTCTTTAATGAACATAATTTAGGAGCCACTAGGAGCTGACTCTATAAGCCGTTTATCTGTGATCATCAATCACCATTATTACTTGATATCACACCCCACACAAGTATAAAACAAGTTGCTAAGCGAATAATGGAATTAGGAAGTACAAGTGATTAGAACACTGCATACAGGTAGGGCAAACTGGAGTTAGATTGGTTATATATTCATTTAATTTATTAGTTTTAGCAACGTTTGAGTTTTTTTATCATTCTTTTTTCCTTTTGTTTGAAAAAAAACCCAGGCACCACCAAAGCAACACACTCATATTCAGGACCATGAATCAGAATCAATGAAGGAGAACATTCCACAAAGGGGAAGCAATGACAAGCTGAAATATAATGGTGAGTTCACGTGGTTGATATATTAAATATGTGTTAAAGCTAGGTCACCATTTTACCGTGGAAATTATCTAGCAGTGGAGCGATTGTGTGGCATACGCATGTCCCAGGTGATCCCACCAGGAGTGCATGTTCTCCTGTGTCAAAAGGGAGATGGGAGCCCGGGTAACGGTGACGTGCGTTTCCCCGGGGAGCAGATGACCCATCCACCCACGGGCTGCCACTGGGGGCCGAGTACGAGAAGAAGAAGCAGAAGCTGAAGGAGCAGCTTCGGCAGGATTACCGCCGCTACATGGCCGAGGTTTGAGCTGCGACGATCCCTCAGCGCCCATCTTGTATGTAGCAGCTGGCCCAAAATCAACACCAGTCCTAAGGCTTGCCCTAACCTTGTCAGGTAGTTCTGCACTTTACATTTCAGCCTAGACTCTAATACCTAATTTCCACTGTACAATAAAGCCATGGCGGGGCCGTTGTAAATCAGTCTGGTGCAGCTCGGGAGGTGCCAGGTTGTTTTTCCACTGCAGAAGTCAAGCCAGTTTGGGCCTAAGCCATATCCAGATGTCTTGGGAGGTGAGCGTATCATGGTTTGGTTCCAGTACAGCACAGCTAAATAGCCAGTGGAAACCCATGCGTACTGTGAGGGCTCTACGCTGGCTCAGCTTGGATGTGCCAGTGGAAAAGGGATGATACGTTCTTATGCCCCTCTCTTTACCTGTTCGTGTTTCCTGTCCACTTGGTTCCTTCTCGTGGTGTCGTCTTGGGCAAGAGTTGTCACTAGAAGGGATGATGGCCGTTGACCAAGAATAATTACAAAGTGGCATCCAAGGAATGACAGACCACGTCAGCTTGTGAAGGGCTTCATGGAGCAGTGGATTGACCACAGCTGATGATAACTAAGCCTAAGATGTTCTTACAGTTAATGCACATGGCCTTTTTACTCAAACACTAATAATCTCTAATATATGCTAGCCCTATAATCTGTAATACTCTATAAAGTCTGACATACGTTAGTGCCTGTACTAACCCGAACCGAGAGTTATCTATAATAACACCAAAGAATATTAAAAGCACATAAGTGGTATGCTTAATTTACATCATGGTATATTATTGAGGAGCATGCTGCTGTTGTGTTGTAGAAGAATTTCCGCTCGAAGGGAGTCGTGGCATTTGAGACTGATACCACATCTCCCAGCCAAGCCCTAGAGAAGGTAACGTATATCCACATTCACACAAACTTGATATATAAGCCCCACCAAGCAACCAGATCGTTGTGAAACTCATGAGAAAGTCTCACTTTGACCTTTGATGGAAACTACCACAGCATTTGGGCACAGAAAGTTAGACGTTTTCCTATTTTACTCAGAATTATTTTAATAGCATTTTCAGACGTACTGTATGTATGTTTAACTTCTTTCACACCGTACATAGCCAACCGTGGAAATCGGAGGTGTATTATCAAAACAGCACTTCTGACTTAACTGTTATGTGTGTTCTTGTTCATTCCATGGCCGTAAACTAGGAGAGGCCGAGAACACACGTGAAGGAAACTTTGGCTGAGCTTCTTGAGGAGCGGGGCTATGCCGAAAGGAGACATGAACAGGTACAGAGAGGGGAGTAAGACAACTTTAACCCCTTTTCCGGGTTCACGAATGCCACAATACACAAAAAGATCACATTCCCATGCCTCTAGTCCATACAGTGACTTAGTAAGGCATTTGTTTCAAGTTGTGTATAAGTGTGTTTTGTTGCCACGATATGGCACATATGTTCCCCATGCACATTATACATTTCTGCCACACAACATCCATTCCGGGTTGAGAACCGCTTGCAGCGAAAACCCCAGTAAGAAACGTTGGGGGGTCTCTCTGTTGACCGTGCACTGCCGCAACAGGATGAGACCTCTTCGCGCAAGAAGGATGCCGCGACATCGATGGAGGCGTACGAGGAGCTGCTCAGTGAGCACCGGAGGGGCAGGGTCGTCTCGTTCGAGGATGGACTAGGGGATCCCTGGACCGCCCGGTGAGACGACAGTGCGGGAAATGCTCGTTGACTTTGGTCTACGCATTTTGGAACAACCTGTCAGGATTGTGTGCTCACCAATGATTATCAGATGCTGGAAAATAAGCGTGTAACGATTTTTACATCGTTGCGGAATGAGGCGCCATGCCCTCTACGCGTTCGAATCGCGATTGACGATGTTCCAAAATCGTTGAAAATTCTATCAAATTTGGGCGATTCTGCAATTATTCGATGAGTGGTGGCGGATTGTTTCCAATCTGATGTGGAAGTTTGGTTGCCATTGTGCAAAAGTAGTTGGAATAACAGCCAAAATAGCTACATGAATCAGTCCTTGAGTCTCATCAGCATCGTGTGGCTCATGAAACAAATGCCAGTGGCTTGTCTGGTGTTGAAATGAGCCTTCCACGAACATGTGGGGCTCCAAGTAATGAAAGGTCATTTGGTCGATGGACCGTATGTTATTTATTTCAGAAAAATATATGCATTTATTGAATACCCACATTCTGCTGATATCGCACAATCGTTTTGTAAAATAATATTTGATTACACTCTAATGTCGTGGCATATGGCTTTAGTCCAGCGCTTTGGATGCAACGGTTGGTGGATCACATAACTGTGTGAAACTTCCAAATTTATGACATGTAAGCAGCTTCGTAAAGTTTTCTGTGTGGACCTCTGATTGTTATTCCCTAATATGCGGCGTGCGTTTTTTCCATCTAAGTCCTGCCGTTTCCTCCCATATGTCAAAGCACTTATTAAAGTTTAATTATCAAAAAATTCGAATTCTGAATGCTTCTGAAATCGTCTGGAGATTGAATAATCAGAATCTTTTTTTTATCATGGAACAATCCGATGAGCTATGAAGCTCTATTTCACAGATGACCAGGAGGGGCAGGTCAGCAAGTTACAACAAATGGCTCCAGCATGGCTGCTCAAAACTACACACTGTTTGGGGAAACTTTAGTTTATCGTGATTACATTACACTGAACTGTAAAGTCACGAGGCAAATGGGAAACTGAAGCGAATTTGTTGAAAACTATTTATTTTTAGTAAAACCACGGTTGCTGTGCACAGATCCAATGGCCAAAAACATAAAGGGGCCAGCAACAGACAGCACTATTTAATGTATAATAGATAAGCCTTAATTACGTTTCTGAACTTGAGCTATTTTATGAGAACTTGGGAAAAGAGACGATGGGAGGTTATTCCGAAGTCGAGCAGTGCGACCAAAAAAGCAGAAAGAGAAGTGATTTGGCCTGCAGTGTGGTGAATGATTGTGAGTGCGTTGTTGTGACCTACAGTGCAGTAGATGCAACACAGTATGGTTGAGACGAAACAGTCAATCTGGTAGACTGAGTCTTCTACACGGGCGTATGGAATTAATGAGTTAATTCACAGGAACAGTTAACTAGTGACATATATACAGCTGGCTGTGTATTGTCTGAATAGTGTTTAGAACAAAGTGTTGTTATTGTAATTTTAATCACAAGGTGTGTATATAACTTAAACACTTTTAAATGTGCAACGTATATGAACCCTGTGGCGTGCCCACAAAGCCTTCGCCACATGAGTGCCCGGCACCAGTCCGGTGCGGAACTGGTGGGAGAGCGGGATGAACGGGAGGAGCGCACCAAGTCAGCTGGCATGCGGCATGTGCCTATGCACGCCCCCACGCGTGCCCACGGCATCCTGCCCGGTAGGTCGCCCCATCGCCTAACCACGAGGCCTCGTCTCACACATACCCCACTGATAAATACGCACACAGAGCAGTCGTGGTGGCGGCAGCTCCTGTAGCCATTATTCGTAAGATGAGAAGTTATATTACATATAATAGCAACACTGGCTGCATCCAGAACAACATGTGTTGGCATGTGCCTCTGATACTAAATTTCATATGTGGCTCAAGCTTGATCGAGTGTAGGATGTAGTGTAGTGACACATCATTAGCCTACAGGAGGCTACTGAGCCATTGATTAGTAATTTCTCCAAATGATATCCATGCCACAGCCTGCACCCACGGGTTGAGTACTGCTGGTCTTGTACTCCGATTGCCACGTTATTTTTTTATGATATGGTTAAACATTAATGTTACCAATATGATGATTATCATTCAAATTTCAGTTCCCGTAACTTTGTAATTGTATTTCACAATTTTATTGTATTGTTTTGTGCTTGCTGTAATTTCAGTATGCATAAAGTGTACTTGAAAGTTTTTCACACTCTAGTTCACTCCACGTAAACCTGCCATAAGTTTGCTAATTATTGCAACTTTACACCTTATTCCTCTGATTATGCACATGCTGTCCATTATACACAGTGTGCAATTAAATAATACATGTACATATTATAAAGTATGATGTCATATAACTGCCTCGCCATTGATTACACTGGAAAAAGTTTGTAAAGTACTAAATCAATTTGTCATAGCTGCAGTATTTTATTTTAATTACAGTAAAACCTTGGATTGCGAGCATAATTCGTTCCGGAAACGTGTTTGTAATTCAAAGTACTCGTATATCAAAGCACTCGTATATCAGTTGTGATCATGTGATGTTCGGCAGACAAAGCGTATACGTACTACTCGTATTGCAAGACCTCGCTCGTTTATCAAATTAATATTTATTGAAAATTTTTGCTCGTCTTGCAAAACACTCACAGACCAAGTTACTCGCAATCCAAGGTTTTTTCTGTATTGTGTTATTAAAAATGAAATGGGACTTACAAAACAAAGGAATTCATGATGCAAACATATTAATAAAAATGTGACAGTTTAAGTGCAACAAAGGAGGGAGCAGTGGTGCGGTGATTCATGACGTAGGTGACATTGACAGCCACCATCTCCACCCTCTCTGCAGTCCACGAGGGCAGGTGCAGCCTGGACAAGCGGAGGAAGGAGCGCTATCGCCTGGACCTACTGGAGCAAATGGCCGAGAGGGAGCAGAACAAGCGGCGGTAATGCACTCGTTGCAGGTTGAAGAATGCCCATTGTATTCTCCGGATTATAAGACGCAACTTCCCCCCCACCCGCCTATAATTGAGAGGAAACGTTTGGGGTGCGTCTTATAATTAATCCTGTCGGTGCCTGTATATTTGTTTGTTTTTGAGACCATGTGGGGAGCGGTATAGTGTAACGGCTGGCGCGCTGCGCTACGAACCGGGCAATCCGAGTTTGATTCACACTCGCGGCCAACACCAGTGACGATTTTCTGAATCGGTCCTGGGCCTCCTCTACGTTGACTCAGCCTCAAATGAGTACCTGGTGCGATGTGTGAACTTCGGCACTCGGGAGACAAAGGTAGCCCAGCGTAGTGCTGGCCACCCACTCCCCCGTGTGCCGTGCCGGCCTTCATATGTGCTCGCTAACAGCACTTGCTACCAACAGTCTGTTAAGGCTATACAGGGGATCTTTGTATTCGTCTCTGTCTTGCAAGACCAGATTTGTCTACTTTTATTGAGTTTGGGATGCTTCCTACTTACCGGAGCGTCTCATAAGCTGTAGAATACGGTATTTAAAAATGTTACCTGTCAGGTGATAGTCTTTTTTTTATTTGCACTTGCTTAACACAGGCCCGAAGGCCTATAATGCAAACCTGATCACACCTAAGACTACTAATGACAGGATAGCAGTTAGGAACGAACACGTTCATTTAAATGAGCAAGGGTTTGTGTAACTTGGGAAAAGGGACGATGGAAGGGAGTTCTGATATCGAGCATTTTGAGTACCAAAGGTAGATAGTAAAGTTTTTGTCCTGCAGTGTTGTGGTTCAACACAGTACAGACGAGAGACCCAAGGCCTTGACGTGGTTGGAGGTGTCGAGGTGTAGAATTTATCGAAACAATGACGGTGTGAGTAGTGTGGGGGCCGACGTCCACCCCACCGCCTTCACTAGGCAGGTGGGGCGCGATGTCCACCCCTTCCACTCCCTCCTCCACCGCGTCGGTCGGCTCCTGCTGGGCCCCCACCGACCGAGGGATCGGGCCCCCCGCGCTAGCACCCTCTCTGAGGGACATACTCCGTGCTGCTGGCTCACCGCCGCACGGAGTTAGACCACACACCCGTGCACACCACGGCTAACGCAGGGGCTGTACGAACGCCCCCCGCACCTGCAGGCGATTATCTCTTAACGCGCGCCCTTGCACACCGCAGCCTTCATGAACACAGGGGGCGCGAACACTCTCGCACCTCAGGCGATTATGTCTCTTAACGCGTGCCCGTGCACACCGCAGCTATCGTTAACACAGGGGCGTGAACGCTCCCGCACCTCCTGGCAACTATTTCCTAACGCGCGCGCACACCACAGCCAACGCTAACGCGGCGCACAGCGATGCGCCCACAGCTGCGAGCGATTACCTCACCGCGCGCCCGTGCCGCGGCTCCACGTCCACTCTGGCAGCGCGTCTTCCCACGCAGTCGCTCCACACACAAATCACAGACACCACACCGATGCTCTGTGCTAACTTTTATTCGTGGTGCAAATACACACTACCTGGGGGAATATTTTGCGAGAAGAGCATTGCCTACTGCTGCGTAAGTGCCCAGTCACTCAAACGTCCTACCACGTACCTTGAAGCTGTACTCATGGCATCGCACGGACGCTGTGAGAGTCGGAGGGAGAAGAACGAGAGAAAACTTTACCTATCACTGCCTCGTAGCAGCACTGGCTGGCATGACACGGATGCTGCGAGCGGCCCGAGGAGGCAGGGCGACAGGGAGTGGGTCTTGGCGGCCCAGAGGTTGAAGACAAGAGAGCGAAAATCGTCCCGGGCTACTCTTTTTATTCCCTTAACTTCAAAGGCCTGGGGTGACGTCTTACCGCGCGGCCAATCGTGCGCTTACCTGTGCCGTTGCTCACTTGCACCTTCTCCTGCATGGCCTATTCCTCTAACTTCAAAGGCCTGGGGTGGCATTGTATCACGCGGCCAATCGTGCGCCTACCTGTGGTTACCGCCCCCTGTTACTGTGTCCTCCGTGGAGTGCCGTGGTGGTGGCACCGGCCACCCATTGTCCCTCGTTGCTCATTGTCTGGAAAGGCGCCCAGCTGACGAACACACACCCTGCGAGTGTGTATTCGGTATGAGGGTCGAGATGGGGTGGCAGTGGCGCTGTGACTCTCCTGACCTCGTGGTCTGCTCTTCTTGCTTAATATTCCACCCTCAGTCCTTCCCGATGCCGTGAATAACTCATTGCGGCTGGCCCAGTGAACCTTTTCTTTTTGCGCCCATACATTTTTAAGCCAACTCGGGGGCACCGCAATGTGACCTGTCCTGCGAGGGTCGGCCACTCTCATGGCACGGGGAAACCGTGGGACTTTCCTCCTTGGGACCCTTCAGATCCCCCGCCGGGAAACTAGGTGTGTGCGCTGCATGTGGGTGCTCGGTGTGTGTGCTCAGCGTGGGGCCAGGGGGGGAGTCGCGGCACTTGCAGAGTTGCTTCACGGCCGTGGCACCACAGTAGGCATAAAATCATCATGAAGATACAACTTGGTGATTCGAGTGATTTGAGTGCAGGGTTATCGGTCAAATGAATTGCTTTATGTTGGATGCTAGAATGCAAATTGAGGTAGGAACAAGGCAACTAGTCATGAAAAGTCTCAAAAAGGATTGAAATAATAATTCGCAGTACTTGGTAAATCTATTACTGGATGAAGGCTTCCCCATTTGCCGTGCTACTTATGGGTGTTGTTTGACCCGACTTAGCTTTGCGTCGGAAAAGTGGTGGGGGGAGATGCCAGGACTGGTTCACTTGTACCCACCACTGCTGTTAGCCATAGCCAGGACATGAACTCGGGAAGCTGGATTCATAGCACAATGCACTTATACCACTGCACCACTGCTCCCCTCAGTGGATTCTCATAGGCTGTTCTTTATTGTTATCAGACTTGGAACAAATATCTTTAGCATAAATCTAAAACCACTTCCATTAAACTGATTTTATTTGTTCTCATTGGTGCTATTAATATGAACTACATTGGACATGCCATTGTATCTCGGCCTTTCTTAAAGGGTGCTCAGTGGGAGATTGGCCAAGTCAACCCCCAACCAATATTTAAATTTGCAACCTTTTAATTTTGAGTCGCTTGCTCTGCTACTGAGCCACGTGGCTGGACCAAATTATTTCTTAAATAAACGTAGCGCACAGCACGTGCGGGAGGAACAGTCTTAAGCGACGGCCTAAGCCACGAGTGCCCGAATCCACCGTGGCAGCTGTGGCACTGTTTAATTTAATGCTTCGCCTCTGGGGTTTTTAGTGATTGGGTTTTACCGTTGGCTATGAATGCCAGCTGTGAAAACAAAGGGAGTTTTTTTAAATTGCAAAAAGTTAGTGTCACTCATATATTGGTGGAGTTGTTTTTTGTCATTTTTTTCTTTCTTTTCCCTGCGCCGTGCGGTCAGGAGCCCAAGGACATGCAACGAGTATGTGTTGACTGACTGCCATTGAGAGTACAAATAAGAGTGCTGTGTATTTGGGGTGTAGCGTTTTATCGCCTTGCCATTCAATTCATTGTTACATTTCGTGGTTATGTTGTTAGCATGATTATTTTACTCAAACAATATAATGCATGTGTCGTGATTGTGAGAATCAATATAATTGTACGGATTGATGCATCAATACCCCCGTGCTATGTAGTTCAACATACATATATGAATAATGCCATGGTAACAGAAAAATAAGCATATTGGACACAGCGATGAAATGGGCTCACATGTATTGAACCACACTGTTGTGGAATAACTTTTCTAAACTGTAATGGGCCAATGGCTTATGTTACATTTTGGGATTATTTGGTTCTGTGTCCCATGCTGTATTTTCACGATGTGAGAAATGACCATACGTACGCATGTATTGTAAAGCAATTATTAACGTGTGGTTTTCATTTTAGGGAGAAGCAATGGAGCCTGGCCGTGCCAGTATCGGGAGTAGTGGACCCTCAGAAGGACGTAAGAATGCACACACGGACTTAAAAAAATATTTTAAAAGATCTTGCACAGACGTGGATTATGGAAGTCTTTCCAACATACGCTTGTTCTCAGACGTATGTTTTTAGCAGTGCAGAAGCCGACAGTTATCTTTTTTTAACGTAAACCATTTTGCACTGGTTTACGTCTCCAGGTTTTGGGCAACTTTTTGAATGTTTTTACCAGTTTTCTCTAGGGTAAGTCCTTAACATCAACACAGCGTTATACTACAGTTTGGTGCACATTGGCTCGTCTTTCGGAAAGTTATTGCGCCCCACATGTCATGGACGGGACACAGCTATATACATAAATACTTTTGATCTTAGTTGAAAAACCTTAAAACAAATTCTGAGTGTGGGGATGCATGCAGAATATCCAGTGCTTTCCATGCAAGGGTCGGGTGATAGTGCAAATTGGTGAAAACTCCCAAGCCTGCTGTTCTGCAAGGAAGCTAGGCGGTGGCAGGACAGTTGCCTGTAGATACTCTGGTTTTATTTCACAAAGTAATCCGTAGACTGTGATTTTTCCAAAGATCCTAATGCAGGACCCTCTTAAAAAAAAGTCTTGAGACTCAGTGGAGCTTTCCTGAATAAACAAATGATATCGCACCATTTTCTTCTTCAGTGTTTCGTTGCATTAGACCACCAGTCTTGTGCACATTTTAAATTCATTCAGTTTTTTTGCACATTTACATTTCATTAACTGTTGGCAAAATAATATTTATGCAAACTATGTTATGACTATTTATAAGGAAATAAATAATTAACCATTTAAGTGACTTTGAATGTGTGGCTGAAGAATGAATGCACAAAGTCCACGTGTTAAATTTTGCCTTAAAATTTGCGTGACTGCAGGAATTCATATTCTTGGTTCTTTCGGTAAAGTCACGTAGATAGAAAATAAAAAAAATATATATTAATACAATTTTAAATTAAAAATTAAAGCAAAAAACCACGACGTTTCAATCGCAAAGCCACACAGCCACACAGCTTTGCTCACTCTGAAAGCCCTTAGAAGCAGTTGCATTTGGAGGCTTGCCCCCTCTTTTCTCTGCGCCCAATGAAGACCACTTGTGTTGCGATCGAAACGTCGTGGTTTATTGCTTTAATTTTTATTATTTATTTTCTATTTTCTATCTCCATGTGTTAAGAACCAAAAACTGTCCAAGTCTAATTATGGCAGCCTTTAATCCCACTTTGCATACTGCCTTTCAGGACGCAGACGATGAGGTAATGGGTTTTGTGCACGACTGAAGTGACATTCCATGTCGTGGATTATCGAATCCACAAATGTGATTTGCTGTGACATATGCATGGCAGTCCGTGTCTTCAGTATTAACAATGCTCCTAAACAAATAGCTGAATTTGCCATCTTTTCTCCCCATTTAACCTTTGGCTCTGTGCCTTTTGTTCTTCTGACCCTATTCTTGCATTGTTTAATGGTCTTGTTCACTCATCTGTAATCTGTCCAATCCTCCATTCCTCACACTCTTTTTCCTTTCTCCTCTCACGCTGCACTCTTCTTCCCAAATTGTTTTTTTCCAATCTCACTTCACCAAAATCACCATCTTTCCTTCCCTCCTTCGGTTCTTACCGCTCTTCCGATCTCCCACATCTTCTACATGACTCCGATCCCCACCCCTGCCGCCACCTCGTCCCCCTCCCACTTCCATTTCCTCTGGATCCCCCGCAGCCGTTGCGAATGCTGAAAATGTTGGGCTCCGGTACAACTGAGCGGCCGCGCTTCCCTGTGCCGCCTCGAGACATCCCGCCTCCGGACCGGCCCCGCCGCGCCTTCCACACCCCTCCTCCCCCGGACAACGAGAATGACGCCGCTGCTCATCGCCATACCAACGGCCTCCAGGGGACCCGCACTGCCGCCTTACCTGGGCCTGGCGGGCGCTTTTATCCGGCATCTTTCGGCACACCGTACGACCCAGCCTACTACTACTATGCAGTGCACAATCCACTGGAGCCTGGCTTGCCACCCTGTACGTTGGTACCATTCCCCCCCCCCCCCCCCTCCAAATATCTGTCGCTGCATCACTTTCACCCTCACCCACCTTGCACAATAGTGCTGCCCCTTGTGTAAATTACTGTCATCCCCTGCATTATTGCCACTCGTTTCCATGTTGTTACAACTGTTGTACATTACTGCCCTCCACCATGAAACTTATTGCCACCGTCTTGTACATATTTGCTACCCCCCTGCCCCCCATATTTTGATGCTGTCTGTCTGTGAATTGGTGCCATGCTTCCCCTGAATGTGCTTGCCATCATCTGAAGCATCACTGTCACCCCTGTCCATCCCTGTAGATTTCTACGAAATCCGGTTTTTGTTAACGTTACCACCTGTAAGTGCTGCCCCCGTCCGGACACAACTGGCGCGCCTGTGTAAAGTACCATTATCCATGTATAGTGTGACTGACTGACGTTTTGTGTTTATCTACTACCAGATTCATCCCAATGTGCAATAAGTGTCCAATTCACAAGCTGAAAATTTGCTGTAACAGTGCTATTCGTGCTACATCTCCACAACATTGTGCTGCTTGTATTTTTTTGCTCACAGTGAATTTTGAAAACCTCAGTCTGATCAAACTGTCTAATAAATGTGACGTGCTGTGAGGAAGGTCCAATGCCCGAAACGTCACCTAACATGTTTTCTTTTACGGCAGTGGCATTGATGAATGTGTTTAGTTACTTTTGTTATTTGATCATGTCTCATGCTCATTTTCACACTGCAGTTGAACCTGGGCGCCTCGGGCAAGGTCAGCCGCCCCTGCCCTATTATGGTCAAGTCAACGGCCCCCCTCTTGCGGCAAATTTCACCAACCAGTGGGAAGGGGGCGTTCATCCTCCGCAGACAGCACTACCGCCCCAGCAAAACATGGGCTTGCCTCTCACGGGGTGAGTAGTTTCACAGTTCTCCGGGTCTTCCGTTTTCATCTCCGCATTTAGATTGTTAAGATGATTTTGTTGCTATAAATGTCCAAATGATAAGCCACTTTGTTGAGCTATCATTTGTGGCCGGGTCACTTCTGAAAAACAAGTTAATTCATCAGTAAGCTTTGCCAGGTAGAATGGATATGATTTAGTTTCATTTGTATGTTTTTGGGTGATTTGTTTGCCTTTCTTGTACGTTTCCCTACTATCATGCTTTTGTAATTGTTTTTTGTAGCGTTCTTACCCGCCCCTACTGGACATATGTAAAAAAGGGCTTCATAGCTTATCAGATTCTTACGGGATAAATAAATATTCTGATTCTGATAATATTTATCCAGAAGTGCAATGCCAAAGTCTGATACATGCTACTTAACCAAGGCTTTTTGTAGCCACCCCAGTCATGCTGCGCTCATTGGGTGGCTATCACTTCTCATCTGCTACAACTAGGGTCTGAACTCTTGCTTGTCCACATTGCACATTACCTCCCATTACTTACTCAATGCCTATCTATTCTGCCTGTGATTGCTTCTTTATCCAATGCCTTGTGCACATATTCATACCCCACAACAAGGCTTAATTTCTCACTCTGTTGTCCAAAACACCGCTAGGCTGGCTTGGAGTTGGGATTACAGGTGTAGGGTACTACCACCAGAGTACAACATGCACGTATTCTGACTAATCCTATATTATGAACAGGTTTATACATATAAGATGCAACGACTCACCGTTGTTGTCGCAAAATAAGGCGAGAGATGGATGTAGCATGCCGAAGTAATTTCCAGAATAGCGTTTCCACTGTTCTGCTCTTTTAGCTGATCCCCATGTTCCTCTTGTTGTCTCTTCGTGCAATTGCTGTGTGTGTCCAGTACTTGGACGCAGGCCGCGTTGGGCCAGGCTCAATATAACACAGTCCTAGGGCCACCACCCCAGGTTGCGCAGCTCCCACGAGGCTTCCCGGGGCTGACGATCGGCCTCGGTGGACTCGGGGAAACGAACAACACTGAGGGGAGGAGAGGCTCCTTCAACAAATACCAGGAGGATCTACAAAGGCAGGTAAGACATATCGGTGAGGCTTTGGTGGGTGCAGCCCGGGCCCTCGGATTTTGAGAGCCCACCCAGCAGTATAATTGGGTACAACATTGCCAGTTGATGGGCAGGTAGTCTGTGGTAGGGTAAAAGTTTGGTATGCCCACCTTTTCCAAAAAAGTTATATTAATCAACAAATCATTACATCTCTAGCAAAGGCAGAAGTTGTGGGGCAACAACCTGAACAATTGAGCATCGACTTGCTTTCGGGCTGACCTATCCTCCCCCCCGACCACCGTGCGTGGGGTCATGAGCCACTGACCTGGCCTTGCGTGATCGGCGTGGAATATACGCGGCAGATAAAGGATTCGGAGGAGAAGAAGCGCAGGGAGCGGATTGAGCGAGACCGGCAGGATGCGCGGCTGGAGGCAGAGGCCAACACATACAACCCCTGGGGCAAGGGAGGCGGAGGGGCTCCCCTACGCGATGAACACGGCAACCTTGTCAGTGAGTGCGGTGCTTCCAACGTCGCCTGTCATGTGGGTGAATCTTCTAAATTCTCCTTCTCTGATGCTCGGATACTATTTCTCCTTGTACTTCTACTTCTGTACCTCTTCTCTCATCACATCCACTGTTCTTGTATCTCATTCCACGGCATCCTTCTATCTTTGCCCTCGGTCTCTGACCTTCCCTGCACCGGCATCTCCTTAGCCTTCTGATTGCGTCCTCATTGTGTCACATCATGCCCACACCGTCTGTGTCTAACCTGCCTTTCCTGCGCGCTCATATTCGTAAACCCTCTTTTCTCTGACAGATATTCCCAACATCCATCTTAGCATTTTCATCTTTGCCCATTCAAGCATGCTTCTTTCCCTCTTGTATTCTTGAAAATGGGAGGAACTTTAATGATCAGCATCTGGTGAATTGCTGGCGGAGGGTGAACCATTGCGTGCCTGGTGGCGACAGCAAGCCGTATCGCCCATCTGTGCAGCCGACCTCAAGCAGATGCGGCGGCAGAACGAGGCCGCGGTGCACAACCCGTTAAGGTCGGCGCGCCGTGTGGCGCTGGACTCGAGAGGCACCCCCTCCTTCGTTCCACAACTGTACAACCACGGCGACCAGCATCCCGGCACGCCCGACGATGCAGGTACGCACTCGCACAGCAGTGGCGGGCCACTTGCCTCCATGCTGAGCAAGATCCAGAGGCTGCCTCTAGGTTTCCAGTCTCACGTTGCCCCTGTATTTAATACATCTTTTCCACTGTACAACCAGCAATCATTACCAGTGATGATAATTTTCAAACTATTTTCAATTGTAAATGTATTCTAACCTATAAATATGTTATTACCGCAGCCTGGGTGTGTATCGAAAAGAAAATCACTCTTTGGTGTTTGATTGCATCTTCGTTTAAGTGCGTTATAATTTAAATAACATGATTCGAACTCTTTAATTGTTTTAAAATTTAAACTTTCCACATTTTATACATGTTTTTTTTATTGTATTTACCTTCTACTGTGTATATGTGCATTTCTTGAGTAATATTTTTTTGTTTGGAATGATTAACTATTGTATTGAAGTTACGGTGCGTTTCCTAATTTATTTTGTGTTTTCATCATTGTGTTTACACCCCTTTCTCTCTTGCAATTGGTTGTCGCTTTCTTGCCGAGTAAAACAATTCTCACTAAACTTGGAGCTTCGCAATAATCGATTTAACGTCTTGAGATGCATCGGCATCTATATTACGTTGAATACATTTACATTTTGCACGGTCTTGTATAACACCTCTGCCGTCCCATTTCACAGCTGTGCCCGGAGATGGGAGTGGGCAGACAGCACGAGGGCGCACACTTTTGGACCCGTCCCAACCGCCGCAAGCCGCTGAGCAAGAGCGGTACAAGGACTTTCTTAGGCAGCAGGTTTAACCATTCACCAACACGTGCTCTCCTCATAACCATTACAGGATCAGAATCTTTCATTTAGACTGCAGGAGTAATCCGATGAGATATGAAGCTTTTTTTTCTCAGATGTCCAGTTTGGTGGTGGGGGGGGTGGGTGGCCGGTCAACAAGTTACAACAGCAAACAATAAAAAAACGGTCTGAGTGCAAAATAGATAAAATGGTAAGCCAAACACTAAATATAAATAAACACATTATACAAATCCTATTCATCAAGATTGGGCAAGACAGCAAAATCAAAACAATCCCAGCCCACGCCAAGATAACGCACAGTTTCTCAATGAAATGGCACATTAACATTCGCAAATGTGACTATATCCAGTACTAATCTTCTGCTTCAGGATATTGTTTTTTAAGGAAGATGTATGATGTTAATGGAGGAAACAATTAGTCTGTACATCATACATCACCACAATATAGTGATGTGTACGGCCCTTTATTAATTCACCATTGCGTAAAGGCCTCAAATCCACCTGGGATATTTCGCACGAGAGCTTGAGAGACGATTAAATTGAAAGCCGACGTGCGAGCAAGAGACGATTTGTTTCGTCCACCTTGCCCAGATCGAGGAGAAGCGGCAGCGGGAAGCAGAGGAGCGCGAGAAGATCCGAGAGGAGGAGGAGCGGGAGGAGCGGCGTCTAGCCGAACAGCGTGAGCGAATCCAGCGCGAGTACGAGGAGGAAGCCGAAAAGAAACGCAAGAAGGAGGAGGAGGTAACTTCCCTTTTGTTTTTGCCACTTTGTTTGCTCTCTTAGTCGGGGTGAAAGAGGCAATGTCATTCAAATTTTGCAGGAATTATAAAAGTAAATATTTGTATTTATACGGGAAGAATCTCGCTGAGCACCAAAGTGCTTCGTGTGGAACTGGGAAGAAACCAAAGTACACAGATAAAATCCAATTTTAATTTTGCAACATATAATTTGCATGAATCATAAGTAATCGATTCTCAGATGCAGAATTTGATACATGTATTGTGAATGTATTATTTGAACCAGTGAACATGCCCTGCCACTAGTACTCTGGTAGATAACATGACATCTATTATAAACTCACCTCTGCTGCCCAGTAACGTTTGTATATGTACTATACGTGGGAGTTCAAGTTTATTTGTTTAACCAGGTTAGAACTCAAGAAACCAATATAGTCTAATTTCAAAAGCAATTAAATAAAGTACAGCAAAATATGACATGTAGTCCTATGTGTACATCACATGAAATTGCAGCAGCTTAACGATCACTTGCAATTTCAAATGCGACCCAAAAAAAGCCGCATTACAAGAGGAGTAGAATATGCTGCCCCAACATAAATCAATATTAAAGAAATAAAAAAAATGATTTCCTAGAATGTTAGTTGGCTCGGACTAATTTCTTTTAAGTGAATTACTTTCAGAGGTGTCTTCATGCCCCACGCGGTCCTCTGCGTCGGATCCCCGAGCAGCAAAGGATCAAGAACGAGGAGCTTGCTCGCGAGGCGGAGGAGCGCAAGAAAGAGGTGGCGCGCAAGCGGCGGGAGGACGAGGAGAAGAGGACCGATGAGTACCGGCAGCAGTTTGAGCGAGAGAGGCAGGCTCTTCGCGAAGAGGTTGAGAAGGTGAGTGCTGCGCTGCCCCCTCCACGACCCGCCGCACTCCACCACGCGCCGACGCAGTTCGCAACCTGAAGTTGAATTTTCGCGTGCGATTTTCCTGGAATATTGCTGCGTAAAAGCAACGCTGGCGTCCGTGCCGCTCCACGTAACGTGCGCTGCAATGCCAAGCGCAAATGAAGGTGAATACATTAATAATGGTGCTCGGAGCTACTTTGTTCAAATGCCTTCATGCGGCTGTTTTATTGCGCAAGCAAACACGTGTTCTGATTGGCTGGATGGGGTCATGAGGTCATCATGACAAACTGTACAAACGTGGCAGAATAGTGTCTTTAAAAAAGTAAATACTACTTTTGGTTAATTTTCTCGTGTTCTCACTTTTTCCTTGCCTAAATTCCCTGAATAGTTGTATTATTGAAAAGCTGAATCAGCACAAACTATGGTCCCTGGGCTAGTCTGTCTGGTAACAAGATCAAGCCTATACTTTATTCACGATACTTTATTCATAATGAAAGAGACAGGCAAAGATTGCGTTAATGGTTAATGATTGCGTTGATGGCTCAGTATTGTGCAAGCATTTGAAAAGTATGCTGTAAAACAGAAGCAATTTTTTCTATTTTTATTATTTTATTGTTTCCCTTATACGTGACTTTTACCGAAAGAACCAAGAATATGAATCCCTGCAGTCACAAAAGCTTTAAATCAAAATTCAATTAATCTAAAGTTAACATTTCAGTGTATTGATCTGGCACCACTGAGATCCTGGAGTCGAACAAAAGTTTCCAGATACTCTTGTTTAAGTTGTGTTCTCAAGTATAGGGAGTTGATGTTCTCAGCACAGTCATCGGTGACACAAAAAAACATTGATACACTTCCTTTTTCACTTAAATAGGCAAAATCCCAGTTTTTAAGAGTTACAAAAAGTGCCTTGACTGCCTCCTGGCAAACGTGGATAATAAAAAAAATATAACTTGAGGGTATCTCAGAAGTAGTTCTGTGATATCTGCTTCCACGGGCATTCTATAACACGATGTGATGCAGCGCTCTGCAAGAGTTTAAAAATGGACACTTCATCTCATGTCATGACACCGGTAACAACAAAGTTGCATTGTTGACCATAGCAAATTTGCATGCAGGAAAGTTGCACAGCTTAACTTCAGCTTAACCGTACGCGCAGATGAAGCCGATGGCAGTGACGAGTCTCGTGTGTTACATCACAGCCTTGATACATCTGTAACGCTAGCCTGTGTCACAACAGACCGGGTCAGAAGGCAAGCGTGGCCTCTGCTTGTCGGCGTCTGAAATGCCCTTTTGCTTTTATTTGTTTCCTCCCAAAGACAAGTTCTGCACAGAATCCACAGGCCAGGCGACAACAAAGGAATGAGGCTGGTGCTACTGACCACCAGTCAACGGTCTGTGTGTGCAGATCTTGCCCTGTGTGTGCTTTTTATTCAACTAAACAAATATTTCTGTTTCTCGAAAGGTGGTTAACCTTGATTAGGGCATGAACTTTATTAAACCGGTGGGTTTCACAAAGAAGCGCTCCTGCTTTTATTTGCGGCACGGATCTTTTTTCAGAAGAGACCTGTGCATTAACCTCACCGACTGCCAACTGTGCACTATGCACACAGATGGTTGCATGCTTCCTGCTGTACTTCTTGCAGCAAGGCAAAGCAGGAGTGCTTCTTTGTGGCCATGGGATAAGATTGATTCCTCAGTATTCCTCTTTATAATTGTGTGTCCACACGTTTTTATTAATTTGCTCTTGAGCCTTAACGCATGTGGAGATGTTTACCTGCCCACTCTGTCCTCTTTTTTGTGTGTGCCGGAACTCAAAGCCCCAGTGTATTCAGATCATAATAAATGGATTCTGGAGATACCTTGGATGGCTCAAAGGTCAGAATGCCAAGTCAGTACCGCTGAGATCCCTGGTTTAAATCCAGGCATGCACAAACCAGATTTTTGTTTTAGTGCGGCGAGATGATGATCTCAACCTCGTTACCAATGACCGATTATATTCAATTTTGGGCTGCATTGAATTTGTCTCAATTCCAGGTCTGAGAATAAAAAAATATTGCTTTGACTGTCATGCTACAGTCTCTTGGCAGAGTGTGTAGGAACGTGCACCCCATACTTTGTAAACGATGAAGAGGCCGCTGTTTTTCAAGTGGATTGTGACAAATCTATTATCAGCTCTTGCCTGACAAAAGGGGGTTCACTCTTTTGCGAGATTTCCATATTGATAATTCGGCTCATAACGCAATAACGATAGCACAATTTCAATCAATCGGAAAGAGACCGGCGTCACTTTTACTCTGGGCAATGCAATATGGCCATACTGATGAATTTACTGGGGCTTTAAGTCCTTAAGTGTTTTTTTTTTCCAATAATTTATAACATCACGTGGAGAGCCACGCTCTTGAGTTTATTCTTTGTACTCACACTGTGAATCATGGATCAATTGTGCTTTCTTATTGACTGGTAAACGTACGTTAAAAATGTTTGCTGACTCTCGTTATCACTGCATGTGTTTGCATATGTGCGTGTGTTTTGACGTGTACGTCACAGCGTAGCAGGGTGGCGGTGGCACAGTGGTTTGCGCAGTCCACTATCAACTCCCATCATTCCTTGGCCAAAAATATTGGCAGTAGTTTGTGGTATCTGAGCTATGTCCTGAGCCCTGCCTAGGTTGACTCAACCTTAGGCGAGTACTTAGTGACACGTGTGAACTTCAAATTGGGAGACAACAACGTATTGGCCACACCACCACCGCTTATGAACAACTCTTGGCCCCAAAAGTGCATATGGCTAAACAGAGGATCGTTGTCTTTGACGCAGCGTGGTGCATCACCGCCCATTCCAGCACTTGTGAAGAAGCAAGGCTTTCCTGGCACTCAGCAGGCCCAGGGAAATGGCATTCAGGTGCCAGAGGCCAGATACGCGAGCCCGGGCGTGTCATCTCGCAGAGCCGACATGAGCCCTCGCTCTGAGCCACCCAGCCGGGAGAGGCACCCAGCTGACCTGCACAGCCGGGCGACCACTACGGCAAACGTGAGTCGGCTGTGACGGCCGATTGGAGGTTCCAAACAATGTACGCAAATGTGTAAACAGCAGTCAGCCTTTGTTGATTATACCAAAAAAAACATCAGTATCTGAAGAAGTGCATTGTGGTCTTTTTGTCTGAGGTCCCCATAAAAACTAATTTGAGCAAATATAACCAACTGACAGGCAGCAGTGATACAGTTAGAGATAATTGAAGAACGGCTTCATCTTTTTAGCACTCATCAATACAGTATAGTCACCAGTGTTCACTGCTGCAAAATCTTGTTTCTGGGAATCATACATGTGAAGTCCCCACTTCCACACTATGGGGTCCATAAGCTTGGCTAATGCAAAAAACAATCAAATCTGTTTTGTTGAGTTATTCTCGTCATTTAGTGATTTGATCACACGGAACCGTGTGCGCTTTGTGGTTTGTTGAACGTGTGAGGTTAATTCGTTGTTGCACATTGACGCCACGCTGCTGTTGGCAGGATGGTGTGAGCACGGGACGAGGGTCTCCGCCGGTTCCTGCGAGACGCAATCAGCTGCGTACAGAGGGTGAGTGAGAATCGCATGTCCGACTTCAAAGAATCACGCATTGCAGAACAGATTTGCACGTCTGGACACACAGATTTACATGTCGGAACACATGTAATTCACACACAGAATCTCAGTTGTTTGCAAATACACAGAACTATAAAAAACTTTACCATTATCTTTTGAACTGGTGATCGCAGCCTTGCTTCTCAAGCTCCAAGTGTGAAGTAGTGCGACGAACGGCGGTATTGCCGGGTGAATTCGCCGCGAGGTAGTGCAAGCTGTTGGGGCGACTGTCCCTGCAGGAACGGGCACGGACGTGCTGGGCGAGCTCTCACTCTTCCGGAAACAGCTGCAGAACGAACAGCGCCGTCTGGAGAGTCAGCTGCGGCAGCAGGAGTCCAGCGAGGAGCACCGGGACGCGCGCAGCGGAGCAGGGTCTGTACCCTTTGCCCCACAGTAACACACCGGCAGGATTGTCGCGATATCATTTTACACAGTGCGATATCTAATTTTAATCATTTGACAATTTTGATTGAAGCTTTCGTGACCGCAGGAATCTGTACTCTTTGGTTGACCGTGGCGTCCTGTGTTCCGTCAGGGCCCAGAGGAGTGCACACAGCAGGGCAGCGTCTCGCGATGTGTTTGAGCTGGCGAGGATGCGCGTCCAGGCACCAGTGCGTCGACCTAGCTCCAAGGGTGTCCCTCAACCTGGGCCGCACGCTGGCCACCATCCCCCACCACCCACCCTCAATTACCCAGGTACAGAAGACTGTCCGTGCAGTTGTCTGTATATATTATTTTTACGCTTTCCAATCGTTCAATGCATTCGCTCTCTCGCTATGTCCGTAAATACGTCTGGCTATCTGTCCATCTGTCCTGATGTCCATCCGTATGTCTCTCTAGCAGGTGGGTCATGGTAACTCTCATAAAGATGGTCCCATTTTTGTAAAATGTTGTCTTAAAGTGGTGTTGTTATTCAAGCCCTAACCTATAAGACAACCGGGCAATTTTACTAAGTTGTTGACCAATGCTCGGCAACAAATTCTAATCCAGGCGTGCATGCGTACGTGCATTATGTTTGCAATGCTGGCGACGCTGTGCAGATGATGAGCTGCTGGACATCCAGCGATCGGCACTCGTTCGGGACCAAAGGAGACGGCACGACGCAATGCGGCGCCCGGACCCCGGTGAGAGGGTGGCCCCAGCACAGCTGGGTTTGGGTAGGGTTAAGCTTATTCAATTCTGTCATTCGTCAGTTGGTCTTATCCAACATTTGCCTGCATCATATATCGACAAGGCTAATACAACGATCTCCTCTATGTCCTCACTCCGAATTCCTCAATTCCAAACTCTACGTGATCCAAATGCCACGGCCAGACTTCTCGCCTGCGTCCGTAGACGAGGCCACATCACTCAAAAACTTCAATCCCTCCAATGGCTTTCGATCCAATCCCGGATCAATTTCAAGATCACACTCACCATCATCAAGACCGTCCTACCTCCCTCTGCGTGCACACTTTTCTCCAGCAACCAAGGCTTTGTGTCAAAGACCTCAGCCAACCTTCGGTCAGTGATGAGGTATATCATTGTTATCTGCTGCTCCCATATTCTGAAACTCCACTCCATGCTCCTGTTAAATTCCAGGCTCAAAACCTTCCTTTTTTTTCCTTCGCTGAAGACTCACTGCCTCTGTCTGTAAAATAAATGTGCCTCCACGTCAATACAACATCTTGAGAAGCAATTGCATTTAGATGCTATAAATACATAAATTGTGTTTTTTCTTTCTCAAATCGTAGCATCTTACATAGGAATTGGACAAACATCCCAAAGCATGGTCATTGTGATAAAAAATAATTTCCACCACAAGGAGGTTTTTGCTGGATAAACAGCTGACTTTTTTTTCCTTTTCTGAAAACAGGCCCTTTTGAGAACCAAGTTCTTGGAATGAAAACAAGAGACCTGGGTTTGGTACGTGGCTAAACAGGACAGTCACCCACAGAACAACAAAGAACAACACATAGGACAACACTCTCACCTGCCGTGTAAAATGTTAAATGCCGTCATCTATGTTACATATTTGTAATTTAATTTTAATACAATAATGCATGGATTCACATATGGCTCACATAGCTCCTACAGATATATGCAAAAACAGAAGTATGTGTGTCTCGTGGTGAAGAAACAATGAGCATTTGTGTTTGATCAGCATTTGCCGCCAGAAGATGAGGGAGTGAGAGCTTCCAGGTCTTCAATGCTGCAATCGGACAGCGCGTTCATCGGTAAGTCACTGGGACTGAGGCCACAGCACATGAGGCACTTCACAGCTGGCACTGAGCACAAGCACACAGTGTCCGCATATGCGCTTGTGCCCGCTATACAATGAAGGTCGTTAATTGGCATGCAACGATTTTGATTGTCACAATTCACATTTTTCGCCTGGCAACACCGACGGCCAATACTGCTATATACGAGACACCTCCAGGCCATGCAGAGAAGACATTTCCGGAATGCCACCCGATATCCACCAGTACCAATGAAGGCCTGTAACACAAAGTGGCCAGCAGCTAAGAGCACTAATGGTTATACCAACTTGGGAAATAAGATGATGGGAGGCAGTTCCAAAATGAGACGTGTCAGGAAATGAGTATATAGGGACACGTGTCTTGCATTATGGTGGTTTAACCCAGTACAGATTAAACAATCTGGTAGAACAAGTCCTTGACATTGGTGGAGGTGAAATGGGGAAGTGAGTAGATCAGGCGAAGACAAAACCCGCTTATTCACGTGAAAGCATTAGATGTCTTGTGTGTGTGTGTGTTTAATCAGCATATCTTGCCTGTGGCCAGGTGCATTTGGGGAGGTCTTCCCAACGGATGCAAAGGGAAATCAAGCTCTCACTGCAGGCCGGGATGGAGCTTGGGATTGGGAACCAGAGTCCAGAGACATCGGAGTTTCCCCTCGTGAGAGGCGACGGCAAAGACAAGGAGTCCCCCTGGAGCAGCGCCAGGTACGTCGTTAGACTTCGCAGCATGAACGGTAAACTCATCGTTTGGGTTATATCTTTTACAGGCCTGAGGTCCCTATCCTTACAGGCCTGAGGTCCCCATCCTTAGAGGCCTGAGATTTCAATCTTTACAGGCCTGAGGTCCCCATCCTTACAGGCCTGATGCCCCCATCCTTGCAGGCCTGAGATCCCCATTCTTGCAGGCCTGAGGTCCTCATCCTCACACGCCTGAAGCCCCCATTCTTACAGGCCTGAGGTCCTTATGCTTACAGCCTTGAGGTCCCAATTCTTCTAGGCCTGAGGTCCCAATTCTTCTAGGCCTGAGGTCCCCATCTTCACAGGCCTGAGGTCCCCATTCTTACAGGCCTGAGGTCCTTATGCTTACAGGCCTGAGGTCCCAATCCTTACAGGTCTGAGGTTCCCATCCTTACAGGCCTGAAGTATTCACAGGGTGCTCACTAACAGCACTTGCCCCAAAAGCCCAAGTAGACTATATGAGGGTCTTTGTATTTGTGCATGTGTGTGGACGATTCAGTTAACCCATGACACCTGGGTCTGATCCATAACCTCCTGCAAGCGGGCCTTCAACACTTCACGTGGCCTCAATATGCTCCTAGCATGGCACAAGCACCGTGGTGACATCACTGCCACTTAGTGGTGAACGGCGGTTGTTGTTGGGTCCATTTAGATGGACATGTACGAGCCCCGGCGACCGCCTGCAAGCCCGTCCCTCCTGTCAGAGTCGAGCATCAACGTTGAGCGTCTGCGAGTGCGCAACGCGGAGAGGATGCGACGCCTCCAACTGATGGCGACGCCAGGTCCTCCTCACACACAGCTCAGATGACCCAACAAAGACGGTGCTGTGCAGACGATTGACCAATTCGTCACTACCATTGTTCCTGTTCCCGTAAACTTCACTCGTTCATTCCTCCACCCATGTTGAGGGCTCAGTCTACCACACACTGACTGTTTCATCTGATCCACACTGTGTTCGTCCACCATAATGCAGACCACAACAACACACTTGGCCACACACTCGCCCACTCTCTCACTCGCTGCACTGCAGATCAAAACACTTCTCATTCTCCTTCCCTAGCACTGCTCGAATTTTGAGTTCCCTTTCATCGTCTCTTTAGAAACTGTTATAACTTTGCTCAATTCAAGAAATGTATGCACTATAATCCATTACAATTTTGATAGTGCTGTTCATTGTGGGATGTTTGATGCCTTTGGACCCGTGTTCAGCAATTGTGTAAAAATTAGAACCATACAAAGTAGTCTCTTTTATACAAAACATGTTTTTTTCGTAACCCAATGTGACTCTGATCTTACCGAGACCATCTGAGATGTTACAAGAACTGTATGGGCTTTTTGTTGCTGGCCATTTAAAATTGTAGCCCTTTGGGCTTGTGCTCAGCAACTGTGTAAAAAAAATCTCTATTGATTCTTCAAATCATAATAATTGCACCGAGTCGGTGTAGTTATTTTCGCAATATACATGCAAATCTGCAGGTCATATTACATATTTTGATATTGCTCTTTGAGCCAGTAGAACTTCAACATAATTTCCCCTGCATGGTATCCATGCGACAGCCTGTGCATGTGCGTGCGCCCTCCCCTGACCCATGGGCTGTGAACCGCTGAGTTGAGTGTTTTCCTCTCTCGCTCGGCAGGCGACGACGTCTCTCTGGGCGACCCAGACGACATCCTGTCCCGCTTCGTGTCGCCGAGCCGGCCGTACTCCGCCGTCACCACGGCGACAGACGTGTGGCTGCGGCCTGGCTCGTGCGATTCGCCGGGAACATTCACCGAGCGATCCAACGGGGAGTGACCTTACCCCGCCACCGCTGCTCCGAGGAAAAGGCGTGGACGGATGGCAGGGACCGCTGCCCGTTCAACCATGAGTGAGCTGACACGGGCGTTTTAATGGCACCGCATCCCATGTACTGGGGACAGAGTTGGGACATGGTGTGAAGTAATAGTCTTTTTCCAGGTGTTCACTGCAGTCCGTCCATCCGTTCCATATTTCGATGGTCCTATAATTTATTTTTACATCCATTTCTATCTAGTTTACAAAGATGCACTAGGTTAAAACTTTATTTGCCAAACAGTCCATTACAAGACATGTAACAACACATACACTCCTTGATTGAAATTTATTAATATGCTCACTATACACAATTGACAGCCTATATTATCATTCTACTGCTGGATGGAGGCTTCCACTGGCTGTGTGGTTTTGGGGATTGTTTGACTATGCTGGTCAGTGTGAATTGGTGAATTGTGACTGGCTACCGATGTTATCCATGGCCAGAAATACAACTCATGTCGTCGCCAGGATCGTAGTATCCTCTCAAAAAGCTAACACTGCAAAATGTGAAATATTAAATTATACCACATTCCAATGCCAGCCGGCTTTCTGCATGGATTTCCATTGTCATGTTTACACCCAATCAGAAATCTTAATACCTTTTAACTTTATTCTCCACATTATAAGATGGACTTTTTTCCCCTTGTTTTTATGAAAAAGTTGAGGGTGCATCTTATAATCTGGTAGTTGTGGAGAATATGGTAATTAAATGTCTCATTTTTTTATTATTCCATGATTATCTCACCTTGTTGGCACAGGAAATTCAGCTCAGCAGGTAGGCCGAGTAAAGAGGCTGGCTAATCCTCTGACTAACAACATGTATAATAAAAGTAACGATTTTGTAGAAATGTTATATTAATTTAACGAAATATGGGGATGATAACGAAGGTGTGTGTGTGTGTGTGTGCTATCAATTTTACAAACATATATTAGTCAATCTTCACAAATTGTCATCCGTAACAAAGTGGCCGCATTTGATTGAGTGTCTCTATGATGACCACAAAACTCTGTCTAGCCAATCATAAAGCAATACATTTCAAACTCTTCCATGCTGGGCAGACGTCTGGTAAAAGGTGACAGTACCCACACTTTACCCCAAGACACACACTGCCTGCCGATCAACTGTCATATACCCATTTATACTACTGGGTGGTAAGAGGAGGAGGAGGGATTTAATAAACTTGCCCCATTATTTCAACTGTTGCGCCGGAGGATGCAATCGAACCGGTGACCCCAAGATTGCAAGTCCAGTGTGGTAACCATTACACCGTGGCAGAATTCCTAAGCAACAATCTTGCATCAAGAGTCCACACTTTAACTTCGGCTGAAGCAACATTTGTACCATTGACTTAACTTTTTTTTTATTCAGGCAGAGAGCATAGCTGCACTCACCATCATGTATCCCATGAAGTGAATGATGATGTAATTTTGCTTGTTGAGCAAAACACGCAAATGGGCCGAAGGAAAAACACTGGATTTGAAACAATATGCAAGTTTGCCATCATGTGCGAGGCATCTTCACGTAACTCCACTCAATCGTTTCTGCAAGGTTTCAGATCGTGGAATAACGTGCAGAATTGGCTTCGTACTGCTTTCCTTCTCAACTGGACTTCAGTTAATCCATGCGAAGGAATGAATCCTTGGTTATAAGGGAGACGCGGATTTACGTAACTGGGGCAGTGCAACTTTAACAGCTCTTGAGATGCATCAGTGGACACAATAATGTGTCAATTAAAAATCGATTCTCACGCTGGTGATAGATACAAAAATGTGTACACGTGAGAAGTCGATTGTTAATAATAATGTATCCACTGCGAGATGAAGACCTTCCCAAGCTAACGCCATTTCACATAGGCACAGTCAGTAATATTGCCTGTCAAAATTATTGGAAAAGAAGCACAAATGCGCCTGCACTTGATTGTTGCAAAATTATTCCCACATTGTTTTCTCGTCACTTGCATTACAAGCTGTGCAGTTCATTGCAAATGAACTCAATAATCCATCAAATGAGTAATTGCTATTAATATTGTAAAATATGAGTTTATAGTAATGGTTGAATGTAATTGAAATATGTTGTTAAATTGAATAATAAATATTAATTTAATAAAACATGCAGGGATGTTGATGTTATTTTTTATTAAACATAGAATTTACTTATTTACAGTGTGTAACCTGGTCACCAATAATTGCCGGAAAAGCCACCACATTAAAACTTGGTAAAAATTACAGCTATGGAAATGCCAAATATGAAGTTGACTGTCACGTGACAATCTCATAGCAGTGTATGTGAGATTGCGCCCCCTACTGTGTAGCATGTCTGCTGTTTTTTTAATGATTGCACGGTTCGAGACCTACGGCCATCTTTGTTAATACCCTGAATGTATAAACTATCAATTCGACTCGCCGCCTGCTTGACAGTGAACGCTCAAATCCTGCAAGATTAATTTAAAAATAAGTAATATTTAAAAATACTTATTTTAAAACACGCTTTAATGAAATGTACCGTACGAGTAATGGCAGAACTCCACGACTCCAGGAAGTGGCCCCGAGGCTTGCCACAACGTAAGGGACCGTGGTGATTTACAGCCAACGTTAGTTGAGCGTGGACAATTAGACCCAAGCCGAAACATTAGATATAAAAAAGATGGTTTAATTTTTTTTATTTTTTATGATAGAATATAGTATTGTCATCAGTATGACATAAGTATACCAAGTTTGCAGTCGATACCACATTGGGAAGTGGGTTAAAATTTATTTACAAGATTTGAGGATACGACAACAACAGACAGAGTGAGTTAAATAAAAGCGTGTAAAAAGAGGAGGCCATGTGTACCGGCGTCTTGGTCCAAATTTGCCGACTTTAACAGCCCGATATATATAAGAATAGGTATTGGCCTTTCTGGCAATAAACACCAAACAAAAACCATTTGCAAGGAATCATGTCTGCATTAACCACACATACTTGTGAACATGCAAACAAAAACATGCTCTGGTAATAGATACATTGTCGTTGAAACTGATTGGTCCACACCAGAGACATCTTTAGAGCCTCGTCTCAAACGGTGTTAGATGAGAGGACGCCAAAAGGCGAACAGCACAAAGACAATGCACTATCTGAGCATTTTAGCTCGGGGTGAGCAGATAAATTATGGGACTTCCCTTGCCAGTATCAATATATAAGCATATGTTTTACCCTTTCTGGAAATAGACAGTGACAATCGATCACAACACTAACAGTCGATGGGGTGCCACGGTGACGAGATGTTAACGACCTCGCCCGGTATACAGGAGGTCATGGGTTCGATCTCGACCCTGACGCCTGCTGTATATTTGGAGTTTGAATCTTCTCCCCATGGTCGCGTGGATTTTTCTCCGGGTCCTCCGGGTTTTCCCCTCTACATTTAGAATAAACATCACGCGTTTAGGGTATTTAACTGTTATAAATTTCCACAATCATAAGCCACTTCGTCGAGCTATCATTTGTGGCCGTGTCTCTTCTGAAAAAGAGCTATTTTGCTCAGTGGGCTCTGGTAAACTTATTGTGTTAGTCATATTCTTGGTTCTTTCGGTAAAGTCACGTAGAAAGGAAACAATCAAATTATAAAAATATCAAACAATTAAATTCTCACGACGTTTCGACTGCAACACAAGCAATCATCATCAGGTGTGAAAACCACAACAAGAAAATTTGAAAAAAGTGGCGGTTATTTTATTTTTAAAATTTTCTTGTTGTGGTTTTCACACCTGATGATGATTGCTTGTGTTGCAGTCGAAACGTCGTGAGAATTTTATTGTATATTTTTTATATTTTTATCATGTTATTTGTTTCCCTTCTATGTGACTTTACCGAAAGAACCAAGAATATGAATCCCTGCAGTAACGAAAGCTTTAAATCAAAATTTGTGTTAGTCATGTTCAATCATGAGGCTTGTGGCCAAACTCTTGGCCTCCTCCACCCCGGGGGAGGTTCTGTCATTCAGAGAACCTGGTGGGCAGGGACAGCCAAGCTGAAGCAAGCCAGATCCCCAAAGTTCTACAGTTGGCATTCCGACATCTGCAGGTCCTGCGGTAGCCTATGTTACTGCAGGAACAGGTCATGTCGTTTTGGCAACAACAAAAACGGCCGCATAATCTTATTGCAACATTATTTAATTGTTTGTCTCAAATAAATCATTTCTTGCACGGGAATATGCATAAAAATAAAGCAATGGAAAATCCTCACACAAAACAACATACTTTGATGGGAGTTTGAACACTTGAAAATCGGTTATATTTACAGAATATTTATACTGGAAGAATCTGATGAGCTTCAAAGCTCTTTTTGACAGATGTCTAGTAGGGGCGGGTAAGAACGTTACAACAACAAACAATACAACAACATGATAGTAATGAAAAGTACAAGAAAGATAAACAAATCACAAACGCATACAAATAAAACTAAACCATACCCATTCTACAAGGCAAAGCCCACTGAGATTTTAACTTATTTTTTAGAAGCAACCTGGCCAGAAACAACAAAGTGTCTTATCTGTGGGTGGCTGCCCCGATTCCAACTCGCAATCTCAACGGCGTTTTGGCTCGGTGTTCTGACAGGAGCCTGGCCACCTGCTAATCCACCTGACCACCCAACCAAATAACATTTCAAAGGTCTTCCAGCAGACTTGAGTGGCATTTGTACCTAACCGCACCTTGCCCTTGACGCTCTAGATCACACCTCGCATCTCTCCAATGGTGACGGGTGAAAAGCTGGAACTCGTGATGCCGAAAATGAAAGTACGAAACATTAACGCTGCCCTCTAACAAAATAATACATGTATATACCGTTGTCTATAGATTATAAGATGCTCCAGAAAGTACGGCGCACACCCAACACTTAGGGGACATTTTTTTTAAGTGTTTTACAATTGGTAGGGTACAGCGATACTGCACTACGGAGAGCCGTCTTTCAGAAGATGATCATGAATGTGCCGCTCTGAAATGAGTAAAGATGTAATTTGAAGATTAATATGAGTGTTATAAACTCATCTGGCTTTCACTGGCTTTATTTTATGATAATTTACGGCTATTGGCAATACAGTTTTGGATTAAGGTCACCCCATGCCGTGTCAAACATGGAGGGTTTTGACCATACTTCAAGTTGGCCAAAGGTTCGGGTAGGAGGAGAGGGATGTGTGGCATCATCGGTTCGATATCACTCGCCGATGATTCGGTCAACTTTTCCACTATATAATTGAGAGAGTGCCAACTGCTCGTCTTGAAGATACTACAATGGAGCGAAACGCCGGACATTGTGCCAAAAAACATGAGGTACATCCCGAAAAGAGCAAAACTGAATATCTTGTTTGGCTGACAGACAAAATTTACGATGCTGTGTGCAGCCGAGTGTGTATGCAGGTTGAATTTATTTTGCACCGTACGTAGCCAGTCGTGATAATCAAGAGGTGTGGGGGGAAGGACAACAAACTAAATACAGAGCAGTTCTAAAGAGATTCGTTTTCAATCTAGATGTAAAAGTGCATGGCTCCAGTGGCTTCCGAATATCGGAAGGATGAGCGCCCCAGTTGGCCGCAGAAGGGCATCTAGTCTACCACACGCAACGCTGATCTGAGCTCCTTCGGGAAATCTGGCTTCACGTCACTAACAAAAAAAACCCATGGCAATCTCAGTCTTAGCCGTCGACATGATGGGTCTGCCTCACCGACGGCGCTTCTGAGGAACGTGAATGAAAGTCGGATCCGTGATTTACATCACCGGCCACCAGGCATGGCACACAAAACGGGAATTAGTGATTACATTAATCAACCTAAGAGAAGCTTAATTGGGGGTGACGGGATCGAGTGATTTATTAAATGATTGTAATAAGCGGAAACGGCAGAGGGCATTTGAACCATCTCCTGATTGAAAAATCTGGAATGTGCCGTGATTAGGAAGGGACAGCTTCAGGTCTTGTGATGTGCAAACAACAGTCGACAGCAGGATTATCACCATTCCTTATTCTATACTCTTGTTATCATCATCTGTCTCACCAAAACTCTTACACTGACCTAATTTTTACCAAAATAGTTTATAGCCATTGTAAATTAATCCACGTCTGAATGAAGGCCAACCTATGCCGTGTCATTCGTGGGGTGTGTTGACCATACTTCACGCTAATCATTGAATGGGAGAGGATGGCTAGCAAAACCGCTTAAGGTATCACTCTCCATTGATTCATATCTAGGTGTCATGACTACCATAACGACTGTGGAATCTTCAGTGATACGGATGTAATGACAGTAGAGCCTACATGAGGTGTGAGTGGACTAGTGGCCACGGGAGGTAATGACAGGGGAGTCAGCCTACAGTGCGAATGCACTAATGGCCACGGGAGGTAATGACAGGGGAGTCAGCCTACAGTGTGAATGCACTAGTGGCCACGGGAGGTAATGACAGGGGAGTCAGCCTACAGTGCGAATGCACTAGTGGCCACGGGAGGTAATAACAGGGGAGTCAGTTTGCAGTGCGAATGCACTAGTGGCCACGGGAGGTAATGACAGGGGAGTCAGCCTGCAGTGCGAATGGACTAGTGGCCACGGGAGGTAATGACAGGGGAGTCAGCCTACAGTGTGAATGCACTAGTGGCCACGGGAGGTAATGACAGGGGAGTCAGCCTGCAGTGCGAATGCAATAGTGGCCACGGGAGGTAATGACAGGGGTATCAGCTGTGAGTGCGAAGGGACTGGTGGCTACGGGAGTGATCGAGAAGGGAGCGTGGTCAGGTGACGGAAGAGGACGGTAGAGTCTGCCGGTGGAGCGAGCGTCCAGAGTCAGAAGGGTCGGGAAGGGGGGCGTGGCCTCGGTCCGTATTAAAGGGGGAGATGCGCGGGAGACTCGGGGCTGTTGCAGTGGGGGTCTCCGCCTGATGTCAAGTGCACGTGTCTGCAATAAAGTGCCATCTCAAGAGAAGTGTGTCAAGTTGTCATTACACGAATATATTGAAACACATATATGTACATTGACATTTTTCGGGGCCCTCGTCAATAGAATAAGACTCCTGGCGGAATAGCAAAGGGGAGAACGCATCCAGAGGGCAACCGCGGCAAAGGTGGAACGATGATTTAATTCAAGCTCG